ACAAGAAGCTCTTTAAAAGCCCAGCTGTCTGCTCTCTGTGGTTCATCGACTTCTTTGCTGTTACAGATGACCAAATTTTGACAGCCGTTCTAAACTTGCTTCGTAGTTAAGTAGGTGAATCAGCACTCTGGAATAGCAGAGAATAGGCTGAGGGGCTGGAAGGCAGGCATTGGGTGAGAGCAGATGGCAAATTAGGACGTGGCTGGAGCTGACTCTACCCCTCTCCCCACTGACTGCACAGCCCCTGCCCAGACCTGTGACCCAGGAAGTAGGAGGAGAATTAGGAGACCTGGGAGACAAAGTCTGGGTGGTTGGGGATATCGCCTCTCTGTCTTCCTTGTGGACCTCAGCTCTGCCAGCTCCCGCTGTTCGCAGGCCTAGCACTGTCAGATGGCCCATGTCGAATAGGACACCTAATATTTAAAGTGCACAGTGGGTATGTTCAAAGGGCTTACAAGTTTTCTCTTGAAACTTTGGAAATGAGATGTAACATGTTTTTGTAGCAGCGTCCAGGGAAGTTGGGCTGTGTTATGTTCTGAAGGAATCATCAAGTATTTTCTGGCTGTCGGCATCCCCATTCAGCACTTGGGAAAGCCTTATTCAGAGGGGTTCCCTAGGGCATCCCTGCTGCAACCGGGACTCCAGTTGGGACTGTATTACCCAGAACACTAAAAGTGAGCTAAACTGTATGGTCCATGCTTGTCCTGCACCTCGAAACATCAATGCATCTGAAGGAAGATCAGTCCTGTTTTTCTCTTGCATAAACTTACGTCACTTACGTAAACTTTCTCTTAGGAAGACTTTGAACAAACACTTGGCAAAATCTTTTTAGCAGACGAGGAGGCAAGGTTGGTACCTTACAAAGGTAGTAACAGCTTTTTAATATAAGAAATAAATAAGAAACTGTTGACTTACGCCAGGGATCTCACTTGGAATAGAATGTTAGTTCAGTTTGGGATAACATTGGATTAAGACTGCTGTGCCCAGGAATTGTCCTCGCAGCTTGATTTTTGGAGCTGGGCAGACATCTCGATCATTCTGGAATAATCAGGAATACCCTGAGGCCAAGCACTGGTCTCATGTCCCAGTTCAGGTTGTAGTAGTCAGTTGTGAGCACATGAGGCTGCATAACAAATGCCCCCAGAACCTGGTGACTAGAAACCGTCATTATTTGCTCCTGTCTATTTGCCAGTTGGCTGGATCAGCCCTCTGGAGGCAGCATTGCTGATGTCAACTGGGCTTAAAAGCTTGGGGGTCTGGGCCCTCCCTGGTGGCGCAGCGGGTTAAAGCACAGCACTAAGAAGCTAAAGCCACTTCAGCAAGAGTTCAATCCCTGCCTGCCCCGGAGGTGACCGCATGGTGCAGCAGACCTCTCCTGGCCTGCCCGCTGCTCCCCTCAGCAGTGTACTTCATCAGTCAGCCTGTTCTGCTCTCCTCTGTCTCTGGTGAATCCTCCCACCACTCCTGCGTCTCTGATCTGTACCCCAGTTCTGTGTGCATAAATAAATAAATCTTTAAAAAAAAAGTTTGGGGGTCCACTGAGCTGAGCTAGCCTGCCGTGGGCAGCTCAGCCCTGTCATTCATCTTCCTGGCACCAGCTGGCTCTCTGGGGAGTGTCCTTTCAGAGTGGCCACAGAGAAAGAGGTCATCAGCACAATGGGCTGTTCAAACCTCTGTTGGACCTCTGTTCAAACCTCTGCATCCTCCAGTATGATCCCACGGGTCACGAAAGTCCCTGGATAAGCCCCTCGTTGGCGGGTCTCTCCACCGGCTGTAGGCCCCTAGGGCTGGTTTGTGTCATTAGTTCTGTCTTCTGCTCAGGCCAGGAACTGCTCAGTCCCACCCTGGACTCCTCTCTCAAAAATAGCCAACTCCCCTTCATCTGCTCTGTGTCATTATAGCTCATCACCTCTGGCGTAATGCTGGTTCATCCCTCCCCCACACTGAAGAGTGAGCCCCAGGGGAGGGGGGGCAGCTCTGCCTTGTCTTGCAGCTGCTTAAACTGCAGGGACCCCCCACCTCCCAGTACCAGGCACCTCTGAGGTGCTCCCTCGTGCTGGGAGGAGTGGGTGAATGTCCAGAGGCTTCCTGTGTGCATTTGAATGTTTCCAGAACCTCACTGTTCCTCCTCCTGAGATCTCACGTTCCACTTTCAGGCTACCCTAGGAAGGATTTTTCGTTATCTAGGGCACACATTTTCTATAGTATATTCCAGGAATTTATTACAGAAATTTCTCAAATCCCCCCACCCCCGCATTTCCAAAAGTCTAGTTCTGCTTTCAAGATCCATGTAGAAGAGATGAAAGGAAAATTTGTCTGTGGTGTCGAAGTGCGGTCCTCTTTGTTGTATTGTTAAAGAGAAGTATGCTGTATCAACTCTTGTATTAACGTAGTAGAAAACAAACCCCCCAAATCAAATTGTAGTTTACTGGCATATAATAAAATTATACACAGCTTTACTAGCATTTTCTGGCATTTGTCTGTTAACCTTTCCCACATAAAGATTCACATGCCCTGTACACAGTAGACTTGTACCCTAGTTCCTTAATATTGTCGCTAAAGCATTTCTCTGAATCGTTAAACTTCTATGTTGTTTTACCTTAGGGGACAATGTAGGAATTCGTTGTATGAAAATTTCCTTACTTAACTTGCTGGATTGTTGGACACTTAGTCTACTTATATTTTAAAGTAAATGGATAATGCTAGCGGATAAGCATTTGACAGCCATGATGGCTACCAACTTGGGTTAGACCACAAGAAGTAGGATTTTGGGGGGAAAGAGGATGAACTTTGTCTCAGGCTCTTGGGATATGTTAAATGCCTCCCGGGAAAAAGGTGCAGTGCTAATTCCCTTAAGCTCCATCAGCTTTCCCATCTCACCACACCCTTGCCAGCAAAAGGCTTTTTCTTCTCAAAAGTTGCCAATTTTTTTTTTCAATATTCGCCTTAGAGGGCGAGTGAGAGAGAAAAGTCGGCAGTGAGTTAATCAATTAGCTGCTGGTCCTTTGCCTATTGCTAGATGTGTTGGTGTTTTCAACTCTTGATTTGTAAAAGCATTTTATACATATAAAACATTAAGCTGAATCATATATTTTATTTGTGTTTGTTATTACAATTAATGTTATTGATGGCTTTTTGATTTTGTTCACGAGGTCTGTTGGAAGACAGAGGCTAAAGATGGTTATGTATTTCTAAGTTAGTCTTTTTCCTTGTGATTTTTGGAAAAAAAAACAGTTTCTGAACTCCACTGTGATTTGGAGAACGTTCTGGACTTGTTTCCTTTCCTTTCTTGAAGAAAAGTATCACATTATGTGAGTAATCCTTTTAAAGCCAGAATAGTATAGCATTAAACACATTTTTTAAAAGATTTGTTTATTTGTGCATACAGAACTGGGGTACAGGCCAGAGGTGTGGGGGGTAAGAGGATTCACCAGAGACAAAGAGGGGAGAAGAATAGGCCGACTGCGAAGTACACTGCTGAGGGGAGCAGCGGGCAGGTCAGGAGAGGTCTGCCGTGCCATGTGGGTCACCTCCAGGGCCAGGAATTGAACTCGTGCTAAAGTGGCTTTAGCTTCTCAGTGCTGTGCTTTAACCCACTGCGCCACCAGGAAGGGCCCTAAACACACATTTTATGTGTTTTCATCTGCTCAGGCTCCCACAGCCCTAACAAGTGGACAGACTCACTCAGTGCCTGAAACCACAGACATTTCTCTCTTTTCCTAGTCCAGCAAGACCAGGGTCAACGTGAAGAGGCTGGAGAGTTTGGTTTCTGGAGAGACCTCCCTGACTCAGACAGGACAGCTGCCTCTCCCTGTGTCCACACAGGACTTTCCTAAGTGTAGGGGAGGGCTGGAGTCTTTGGTGTCTCTTCCTCTTCTTATAAGGACATTAGTCCTGACAGATTAGGGCCAGCCTACATGACCTCACTGGGCCATATTTAATCCCCAGACCCCTGTCTCTAAATACAGTCCTGTTGGGGGCTTGAACTTCAAAATAGTAGCATGGAGGGATGCAATTCAACCCGTAAGAGTGACTGAGCAGTAATTTGTAGATCAGTCTAGGGGCTGGGCGGGACTCTGCTGTAGCCCCATTTCACAGGTGAAAGGGTTCACATAGCTTTTCACGAGAGAGAGTGACCCAAAACAGCTACTGAGTCCAGTCCTCTTCCCATAGTCTCTAAACCATAGTGAATCTAGAGCATGTAGGAGCCATCAACCAGGAGAAAAAAAAAAAAAAGAGAGGATGTGTGTGTGTGTGTGTGTGTGTGTCTGTCTGTCTGTCTGTGCAGAAAGTGCTTCCCTTCATATTTTCTGCGGGGGCGGAATTTCCTTCACCCCTTATTGCTTAAACGGGTTCTTGCATCATACTCTATACTGGACGCACGTGTGTTGAATTGTACAGAAGTCAGACCCCGGTATATCGATGGGAAATATATCCAGAGGTAGCTCATTTGGGAAACGTCCTCCTTCCCCCAGATTCTGCCTCTTGACAAGAGCTTCCTGGAGTGCTGTCGGCCCAGAAGCCCCTATCATATGAACTTTAAGAACCCACACATCCAGAATGCGCCTGACAAGCTCAGATCTGGTGTGTTATATATCTGTCCTCACTTAAAAAAAAAAAAAACCTCTTTCACCTAAATATAGTTTTCTTCTAAAAACTGTCTCTAAATGACTGTGTTTTACCCTGAATAAGTTCTCCCCAGTGCATCCTGACGTTGGAGCGTGAAAAGGAAGGTAAACGCGTGAAATCAAATGGTGATTGCTAACAATGAAATTTGGGCTCATAAAATCAAGGATATTATTCAAAACTGCGAGGTAAATTAGTCTCATTCATTCTGATGGGGCTACACTCTATGGCTGTGTGTGCCTTCTTTAATTAACATGCTGAAAAGATGTTCTGATTGGGATTATTAATGAATGCAGTGAAAATTTTTGCTGCTTGTAAGGCTTCTGCCACAGACGGCTTACAACCCCCCCCCCCCGCCCCTTCTCTTTCCACAGATTCCTTACACGGCTTGACAGATGGAGTATTCATCTTTGAGGCTGTTTCCACAGAAGATAGCAAAACCATGCAGGGCTATGATGCTATTGTTGTCGAACAATGGACTGTCCTGGAAGTGAGTGAGATTGGCAGGGGCTGGGCTTTTGTTTGGACGGGGAATGTTTTATCTGCTTGCTCCATCTCACCGAGGGGCTGATGGCTGTAGCTTTCCTCTAAAAGGCGGGGTGACTTGGGTAGCCCCGTGAGGATGCCTTTCGTCCTGTCATGCCCCCTCCTCTCTCACTCCTCCCCCCAACTTACAGGGGTGAGTTCCCACTTTCCTCTTTGTAAGAAAAACACTGCTGGATCATTGGGTGGAAAAGATTCTTCTTTCATTTGCAATGTAACTAAAAATTCCATGTGGCATAAATGGGGGGAACTTTGAGTGGCTTCATTGTTTCTGGAGTTAGACTCCATGACTCCCTTTGTGAGGTGTCCTTAGTAGGAACTGGGGTATTCTTAGGAAGAATAAGAATGTGTGCACATGAACCCAATCTTCACATGAGCCACAAGGTAAATACAGTGATGCCCCGATTTTGTGGATGAGGAAACTGAGATCGGGGCACCGGCCCAAGATTACCCATGGGGTCCTCAAGGATGTCTTTGAGAAACACTGATCCACAAAGCCACCAAATTGCTGAGGACAGTTCCCCTGGGAGTTTGGGTGAAGGTTGACTTATTTCTGAGATTTACCGGGGTGCCCCTTAAAGGTGTTTCTCTGGCATTGGAAGCGGGAACATTGTAACACTAGTCTCCTGTCTGCCCAGCATCTGGGGTGTAAAGGGAGAAGCTATTTGAACAGAGGACTTGATTTGAGGTTTTAGAGGAACACTGAGTTGGCATCACTTTGGGGAAGAGGGGAGCCCTGCCAAACTGGACTCTCTGAGCTGAAATAAGCCAGATGAGGGTGCAGCTCTTTGTAAGAGTGAGGGGTGCCAAGCATCGCTGGACATCGTGCCTTGCAGCACTTCAAAACTGCAGCCCAGAGGTGATGCCCTCACCTGACCACTGGGGGGCGTGCTGGGTGCCCCAAGGGCTCCTTCATTACAAGATGAAGTAGTTCTGGGGACAGGCCTGCATCTGAGCAGGGCAGAGGGGAGATCTGGGGAGGGGGTGGGGCGGGAGTAACTGCAAGAATGGCAGCAACAGAGTCCACTGAAAACCACAGTAATAGAAACAGCAAAAGCAGGGACAGCCTCAGGCCGGTGAGGGTGGGGCTGTGAACTTGTGTGTAAGGAAAGTCAAAGCAGATGATGCGATGGCATCAGGTTCCTCCTGTTGCTTCTGCCTGACCATGGACCAGGGGACATGCACACCTCTTAGGAAGTGTGGGGCAAAGGAAGAGGAGGCTCCGTGCACAGACCCACATGGGCCAGCCTGTGCCTGCTGGGGTCCCTGAACTTCTTCAAGTTAAGATGGGGCCCCGCCCCTGCACTGCAGCTCCAGGTGGTAGAGAGATGGGAGACGACAGGCGCAGAACTTGGAGATGACAAGGCCTGGTGGAAACAGGCCCGTACTTGTGGCTGAGCAGCCCGCAGCCATCAACACCCAGTCTGCTCATAGCACTTGAGTAGCACAGCAATGATCAGGGCTGCAGCGGAAACACGCCTGCACAGAAGCCGTGGCGGGCCACGGGACGTGTGTAGTCTCCTGCTGTCTGCACATTAAGGTGCTCATTAAGGGAAGACTTTTCTGGCTTCCCCAAAGGAAGATGACTCGATGGCACTGATCGAAAATCATTTTACTTTATTTTATTTTTATTTTTTAAAGATTTATTTATTCATACAGAACTGGGGTACAGGCCAGAGATGCGGAGGGTGAGAGGACTCACCAGGGACAGAGTGGAGAGCAGAACAGGCAGATCCATGAAGTACACTGCTGAGGGGAGCAGCGTGCGGGTCAGGAGGGGTCTGCCACGCCATGTGGTCACCTCCAGGGCAGGAGGGGATCGAACTCATGCGGAAGTGGCTTAAGCTTCTTAGTGCTGTGCTCTAACCCCCTGCGCCACCAGGGAGGGACCCATTTTATTTTTTGAAGCTATTTTTATTTACACACACAGAACTGAGGTACAGGCCAGAGGTGTGGGAGTTTGGATGGGGGTGGGTGAGAGGATTCACCAGGCAGAGTGGGAAGCAGAATAGATGGAAACACACTGCTGAGGGGAGCAATGGGTGGGACAGAAGAGTCTGTTTTGCCATGTGGGTCAGCTCCCTGGCAGGAGATTGAACTCGTGCTGCAGGGGCTGCGATATCTTCATAGTGCTGTGCTTAACCCCTGGTGCCATCAGGGAGGCCCTGAAAGCATTTTTCAAAGCGGTTCTCAACATGTGCCAGGACCGGCAGCATCAACATTCCCTGGGAAGTTGTTAGAAATGCAGAATCTGGGCCCCACCCGGACCTACTGAATCAGAAACTCTGGGGCTGAGCCCTGTGTCCATGTTTTCACAAGTCCTCCAGGGGGTCTGATGCACCCGGGTTTAATAACCAGTGTCTACAGGAACAGGGGTGATGGCGAGAGCCCCTCAATCATTTGTCTCTCCTTAGCCTTTGAAATCAGCGGTGACTTTGCGGGTAGCTGTAGTGAGCACCTATTGTAAATCACACTGGTGGGAGAGAGGAGGTTACAAATGAATCCAAGGGTGTTGTTGTTTTTTTAATAAAAAAAAAAAGTTCAATTTATGGGTTAAAAGTTAGGTTGGAAAAGACTCACAGTGATACAGAACTGCCTGGCTGTGCAGATTGGTTTCCCCGAGGGTTACTTATCAGCTCTCTCTCTTCCTCAGATATTTGAACAGTTCCCCACCTCACCTCCTATTTTTATGCATTAATCTATTGGGTGACACTCGTTTTTGATTTTCCTTCGCACGCACACACACACGTCAGGAATGTTTGGGGTTTCCTCCAGAATCATGCACAGGAAGAAGGGTATTAAAGACTTGGGTGAGCCTAGTGGTGCCCCCTAACTTCCAGAGCTGATCCCACATGTCCTGGCCTTTTTCTTATTCAGTAACAGATTCCGTCAGGCGCTGGGAGGTTTACACCATGGGAATTGGCAAGTGGCAGAAACCAGGGATTCCTATCCAAGCGCCTGGAGAGCTGGTTGAAGGCACCTATCAGGACACCGCTGGATGGGTCATTATTTCATCACAGGCCAACATGATGCACAGGTGTGGCTGACAGCCATTCAGGCAGAAACAGGATTTCTTAATTTTCATGATGAGCAAGATGGCGGATCAGTGGTTTTGCTGTTGCTCACCAGTATTCTGGGTGCGAGTCTTCAGTCTAACTCTTCCCTCTGACATCTTTAGTTGCTAAGTCCACAGTAGAAGCAGGCCCCTCCATTTTTATCATTCTCAGCCTCCGAGGTTGCCATCTCTCAAGGGCCAAAGGAGGAAGATCTCTCTGGTGAGACTTTGTCCCTTGGTCTATGAGTTTGTCTTCTTTGCAACTTCTGTAGGCAGCTTTCATGTGTCACCCATCCATCACCTCCTCCAGGAAGCCTCTTAGACTCCTTCTGGGTTCAACACCCTTCCTCTGTTCCCATAATTCTCTGTGCAAAAGCCTATCAGTGCACCTATTACTCTCACTGTAATTTATTTACTCACCTTCCACCCTTCCTCTGAGTTTCTAGCCTGAGGCTGTTCATCTTTGTCCTCCAAGGCACCCATACTCACTTCCTGAATTAGGTTGAAGGCCTTTGGTTTGGTTCAAACCAAGGGTAGACCAGAGCTTCTCAAAACTGAGCTTGCATCATAATTTCCTGGAGAGCTTTTTCAAACACAGATATGCACGCCCTGGAGTCAGCTCACTGAGAATCACTGCCTTAGGAACACGTGTATGCAGCTGTGCCCATCACAGTCCAGTGTGTCCAGTCCAGAGCAGAATCCCACAGCTCAGCTCTTTGAAGAGGCTCCCTAAGATCCTGATTTCCAGCCCCAGAGAGCCCCTCTCCTCTTGCCCGCCCCCTGGCTCCCCGGGTGTGTGAGCTTGAACAGTTCCTTCACCCCTGCACCCAGCTGTCTCCTATCTTCACCACTCTTTTGGCCTCTGAGAAGCATTTTTCCAGCATTGGCCCTAGGCAGATCCTTCCTGGCTCTTCTGGCAATCACTGTCCTTCCAGGCCAGCCATGACCTCAGAACATCTCCAGCTCGCTGCTTCTCTTTCCTCACAGTTGAAACTCATTTGCCATTCTCCTGCCTCTATACTCCCATGTATATTAATGGCCTGGCTCTGTGCAGCTGACCATTAGATTCACCACCTCTCCCTGGCTCCCATTTCTCTCCATACACACACACACACTCATGCGCACAGTCTCACAAGGAAACCTCACAGCGCTGCAAAAAGTGAAGTGCGTTGGAGGGAGGACACACACTTGAAGAATGTGGCCTGGGCGTGCTTCCTGGCCCCTAACTCCCAGCTGAGGAACTGTGTGAAAAGTACACTTGTTTTCCTACTTTTGAATTGTGCACATGGGGACACTGAAAAGAACCTCGCAAGTTATTGGGAATTAAAAGAAATACTAATAAGTCATGAATGTCCTGCACATCTGGTCAGTAAGTAGCACTTTTATTAGTCACCTGGTATCATCAGTTAGGAAAACCCTACCCCCATGGGCTGAGTCTGATTCTGACAGCACAGCAGAGGCTGGGCTAGGGTGGAAAATGGGAGCCAGGGACAAATCATTACATTTTCTCACTTGGAAACTTACACTGTAACATTCGAGGCTGTTGTGAGTAGGATAAAAGTCCACCCATGGGGCATTTATAAGGGTATTTTTAAAAATTTCTTTGAGTTTACAATCCAGGGTATGCGTAGGAAGGATAAATCTTTGACAGGAAAGGGCCCGCGACAGACAGGAGGTCAGAGCTAGAGCCAGACTGTCATCTCCTGCATAGGCTTGGCCCGATGGCCATCAGGGTGTCTAGGCCAAGGGTGCCCCTTCCCCATCTTCGTCCCTCTCCTGGATTGCCTTCCTGCCCCTCAGTGCTGTTTGCGAGGTTTGCTGTCAGAACAGGACATAAGACCGCGATATGGTCAGGGTTTAGCATTAGGTCTAGGGTTAGGGCTAGGGTTAGG